TAAATCTCTATTTAAAATATGAAATAATTTAAATTATTAATATGAGTATTATTTAAATTATCAAATATTATTGATTTTATTATTATTATTATTTAACGAAATTATTTTATTATCTTGAATAATTTATTTCTAAATTATTATTATTGTTTGTATTAAAAATGTTAAAAATTTTTTCTAAATGAAAATTATATTTATTTTTATAATTTAAAGTTTCTTCTTTATTAATTTCTGTATTATTATTATTATTATTATTTGGTGTCTCTATTTTTAAATTGCAAACACTATTACAGCTATTACTATTATTATTATAATATATATTGTTACTATTATTATTATTATCTATATTTTTATTATTATTATCACTATCAATATTATTGTTATTATTATTACTATTTATAATATTATTATTATCTTTGAACAATGAAAATATAAATAATGGATTCATTTTGGTTAGTTTATATAGAGTTATATAATCACTCATTTTTTTTTTAAAAAAAAAATTAAAAATTAAAAATTAAATAAAAAATAATTAAATATTTATTTAATTAATTAATTATTTTTTTTATTTTTTTGAAGTATAAAATAGTTCTACCTTTTTCTATTGAGTTTTTTAAATAATAATAATAATTATATATGTTTATGTGAGATGTTAGGTGAGGTGTATGTGTGGGTTTGTGGGGGTGTGTCTTTGTGTGTTTTATTACTATGGGTTTGATTTTTTAAGAGTTGATTATTTGATCAAATTAATTTAAAGATTATATTTAAAAATAAAACAGATGGATACATACAAATAAGGTTTAAATAAAAATATGTTTTTTTTTAATAAATATTAAATAATATATATAAGGTTTATTAAAAATTTAATAATAGTTAGGTGAAACAAAAAATAATAATTAAAAAAAATAGCAAACAACTAAATTTTGTTATTGTGTGTTAAGTTAATGTCTAAAAAATGTTTTTGTTTATGTAAATGTTTTAAAAAAAATAATAAAAAATTTAAAATAATAATAATTATTATTAGTATTATTGTTGTATATATATTGTGTGGGTTGTTTTTGTTGAGAGGGTTGTTTTGTGGTGTGTTATTATAAAATTATTATTATTTTTATTATTGCCTTGTGTTTATTCTTTATTAATGATAATATTTAATACTATTATTTTTATTATTTTTATAATGAGTGTGGTACAATGGATTTAAAAAAAATATTTTATAATTATTGTTATTATTATATGTTTAAATATATCTATATTTTTCCCCGCACGAAAGGGATGCCGAATAAATTTTAAAACTAATAAAAAAAAATTTCCCCCCAAAAAAAACCCCTATTTTAAAAAAAAAAAAAAAAAAAAAAAAAAAACAAACCACAATGTTAATATTGTTAATTTAGGTTTTATTATTGAATATAAAAATTTTAATTATTGTATTGAATTGTATGTAGATACGTTAATGGTGTGTGGATATCTATATTATTATTATTATTATTTTTTAAAACACAATTCTACTCTTAAACTATTAGATCGAATCTATTAACTAAAAATAATAAAAACAAAAAAATTTTATTTTTTTTAATTTTTTATTTTTAATATTTATATTGTTTTTATGTTTTTTTTATGCATTGATGATTATTTGTTTCCTATATTGATATAATTTAATAATATATATTTATTATATGTTAATATTTTAATAAGAATTTTTTAAAATGAAATAATAAAATAAAAACCATATATGGGTGGGTGTGATTTTAAAAGGGTGTGTTGTGGGATGTTGACACATATTGGTTATGATTAAATAATAATCATTATGTTTAGATTAAAAATACAAAATGATAAAATTATTTATTTTATTTTATAGAGTTTAAAATTTGAAATTTGTATGGTTCTGTGGTTTTTTTTTAATAGATTTTATTTAAAAATTATTTGTTGCAATTGTAATCTATTAGATAATGATTTTTAAAGGTTTTTATTGTCTTGTTTTTTTTTTTTTTTGATAGTTTTTATTATTTTATTTGATTTTAAAAATATTTAATTATTTTTTTTTTTTTTTTAAAATATAATGCCCTTTAGTTTTTAAAAACTAATGATTATGGGGATTATTTATTTATAAATATAATAAAATAATAACTTGTTTTTTTCTCTTTGTTTAATAATTTATCTAAATTTATTTTATCTATAATTAAAAATGTACCTTGTTTAGAATTGTCTTTTGAATTGTTTTTAAGTTGTTCACCCTGAAAATATCCAAAATTTAACCTTAATCTAATTCGTTTTATTAACCCTAAAATTATTTTAAACTAATCACCTTCCTAATTTTTTAATCCTTCTTAATATATTTATATAAAATTTACTTTGGATGATTATCATCATAACTATTTATTATTATTATATTTTATTATAAACCATCCCCAAATACTATAGTTTTAGATTTATTATTTAAAGGGATATTAAATATTATTTATAAATTTAACAAATATTACAGCTCTACAAACAATATATTTGTTACGAAATTTTGATTTTGAAAAAAAAAAATAAAAAAAAAATAAGACAAGTTTTATTAGAAAAATATTATTTAAAATTACCTTTTTTTTTTTTTAATTTCTTTTGAAAAGAAATAAACAATTAGTATTGTATGTTTAGCAAACTTTTTCTATCTCTTTAAGTTTCTAAAATTAAATGAAAGAGAAATAAAATAAATAAAATAAAATAAAATTAAAAATATTAATTAAAAAAATTTAAAATAAATTAATTTTGAAAAAAAAAAAAAAAAAAGATATAATATTTTTTTTATTTGTGTTGTGTTTTTCTTTTTTTTTATTTATTTTTTTTTTTTTTTTGGGGTTAATAATAGTGGGGGAGGGGGAGCCTAACACTCACTTTCTCATATAAAAATTTAATATAAACTTTTTTTTGTTCACATTTATTATTATTTGGGATACAAAGTAACAACATTACTATAAATAATTATATATTGCAATTATATTTATAGATAAGCGAAAAAAAAAAACCAAAAACAATTTTAAAAAAATTAAGTTTTTCTTAAAAAAAACTTAATCAAACTATTATATTATCATTATTATCAATATCTATATTAATACATATGTATAAAAATAATTTTTAATAAAAAAACAATTCATTTATCAAACTTTCACATAATTCTAATTATAGCACACCCACACCAAAAAAAAAAAAAAAAAAAAAAAAAAAAATTAAAAAACACTAAATTAACACACAATGATAGATAAAAAAATAAAATTAATAATATTAACTTATATTGATTTAATTTAATATGTTAAATCTAAATGGGAGATTATTTTTAAGTATAGTTTTTTGTGTGTATGAGGGTAAACTAACATGCATTGTGTGTATGTGTGTGAATGTGTATATGGGGGGGGGTTTTACTTTTTTTTTAAAATTTATTCTCTTCCTCAATCACATAATTTGAATTTAGTGTATTTAATTGTTATTTTTGTAATTGAATCTATGTACAATCTAAATTTCTGTATCTTTTTTTCTAAGATTTAAAAAAGATAATCTATATTAACTTGACTAATTTATTTATTATTAGCATTTTATTTTTACTTTCGAAGAATAAAATTTTAATAATTTTAAAAAAAAAAAAAATGTTCGTTTTGAAGAGAGTGTTTATTATTTAATTTTGATTAAATTCATTCTTATTAAACTATTATTATTATTTATTATTATTTATTATTTATTATTATTATTATTTATCTATTTATATATAATTATTTTCCTTCATAACCTTTGCAACAATTGATGCTAATTTATCAATATCGATTGAATAATCTTCAGATTGTTGTTGTCTTTCAATTTTAATTTTTTTATCCAATTTTTTGAGTTTATCTAAAATATTTTCATTATTTGAAGACTCTGTATTTGAAATTGAAACAAAAGGTAATGTTGATGTTGATGAGGTATTACTTGATGATGGTGATGGGATGGATGATGATGATAAAGACACTGGATCTACGATGGTTGTGTGTGGTTGTTCTTTTTCTTTTGAGGAGGATGATGAAGTTGCAGTAGATAAGCCATTTGATAAATTTGGATGTGATATTATAAATGATGATTCTAAAGTGAGTGGTGAATAAAATTTAAATGTTTTTTTAACATATTTATCAAAGAATGGATTATAGATTGAAATTGATGATGTTGGGAATAAAGTTTTGATAATCTAAAAAAATAAATTAAAAACAAATTAGTTATGGTTCATTATATATATAGTTTGGTTTTCGCGAATATATAACATACCTGGCAATCTTTTTCCAATTCTGAAAATTTTTGGGTATACTGTGGTAAATTTGAAAGTTCAAAAGATTTTTGAATATAAGGGTCTTTAAAGTAATCTAAGCTTGGTGTTAATCTGAAAGTGTGTAATAAATTTACAATATATGTTTTGCCAGTTTGAAGAGTTTTTAAGGTTAAAAGATCCATTGTTTTAGTATTTGATTTTCTGTACATGGAAACACCATATGCAAATGTTAAGGGTGAACTGGAATTAAATTTTTTTATAAACCATCTTGAAAGCTTCTCCAAATCAAATTGATTCTTTGATAATAACTGCTTTGCATATAAATCGAATTTCTTTTTTGAAGATGATGGAGCGGCCACATTGCTAACACTATTGGAGCTTGTTGATGGTGATAATGTTGTTGGAATATTTGAACCTGAAGAATTTGGTGATGGTGCTGGTGATGTTTGTTGTGATTCGCTTTGTTGTGGATCATCCTCGTTTTGTTTAATTACTGGTATAACAGTTGCAGACCACTTATTTTGTGAAAAAACTGTATCTATATTACGTAATGTTGAGTTATACAATGTATCTACATTTGGATATGATGGGAATATTTGATTTCTATCTAAATCTGTACCAATTACAATTTGAATATCATTCTCTAAATATAAAACTGGATATGATTGTAAAGAGTGAAAAGAATCTGATCTGTGTAATGGAATATGACCAATAATTGAGTTATTATGTAAAATAGTCCAATATGCTCTACTATCATTTGATCCTGTAATATATAATGGACAGCTATATGGATCCTCAAATTTTGTAACTAAATTTCTCTATTT